GCTGAGCAGGGAGCCCGATGCGGGACTCGATCCCGGGACTCCAGGATCATGACCTGAGCCGAAGGCAGTCGCTTAACCAACTGAGCCACCCAGGCACCCAGAAAGTGAATAATTTTTATTGCGGTAAATATATATAACATAAAATTTTTACCATTTTAACCATTCAAAGTATACAATTTAGTGGATTAAATATGTTTGCAATGTTGTGCAATCATCATCACCCTTATCCTTTTCTAGAAAGTTTTCATCTTCTTAAAATGTTTCCCCTTTCCTCCCAGTCCCCTGGCACGGGGGGACTCTACTTTCTGTCTCTATGAACTTGATGAGCCTAGGTACCTCATGTAAGTGGAATCATACAATCTTTGTCCTTTATGGTCTTGCTTATTTCACTTTGCATGTTTTCAAGGTTCATTCATGTTGTAGCATGTGCTACAATTTCTTTTTAAAACTGAATAATATTTGAACAAAGGAAAAAAAAAAGACAAACCGAAAAAACAGACTCTTGACAATAGAGAACAAACTGCTGGTCACCAGAGGGGAGGCAGGTGGGGGATGGGGGAACGAGGTGATGGGGATTAAGGAGTGTACTTGCCAGTGATGAGTACTGAAAAATGTATAGACTTGTTGAATCACTATATTGTCCACCTGAAGCTAATACAACACAGTACGTTAACCATACTGGAATTAGAAATTTTTTAAACTTTTTACAAAACAGAATCGTATTCCATCATATGTATACATCACATTTTGTGTATTCACTCGCCTGTTGACGGATATTGGGGTTGTTTCCATCCCTTGGCCACTGTGAATACTGCTGCTGTGAACATGATCGTACAAGTTTGTGTTCGAGTCCCTGCTTCCAGGTCTCTGGGGCACACACTCAAAGGAGGAATTGCAGGATCGTACAGCAATTCTGTGGTGATGTGTAATTTTTTGAGGAACCACCGTACTGTCTTCCAGAGCGGCCGCACCAATTTGCATTCCCACCAGCAGCACATGAGCACTCCAGTTTCTCCATATCCTTGTCAGCACTTATTTTATTTTTCATTTTTGGGATCATGGTCAGCCTCAAGGGTGTGAAAGAGGGTGCAATTCTGACAGACAGAGGAAGGACAAGCCAGCCTTTCAGGCAACAGAGGCCTGGAGGGGCTCCGGTGTGCAGTGGACTGAGTCGCCCGCGGTCTGATGTCAAAATCCATGTGGGGTTCTGTTTACCTCCCTCTCCTGGAAACGACCGATTCTGTAGAGTATTGGCAAGCCCCTGCCTCCCCGGCACCTTCCAATGCCGCTGCCGGGGTTCCTGTTGGCTCAGGTGTTCTGGAAGCCAGCGGCTTGCCGTGAGAGGCTGGGCCAGGGACCTGGGCACTGCCGCACGGGAGGTGAGCCAGTCACCCATCACAATGACCAGGGACTGTGACCAAAGCAGCCTGCATCTCAAGGACAGGTGTGGCAGTGCGACAAAGTGGCGGGACTCTTCACGCAGCGGGGCACCTGGAGTGGGAAGGGCAGGAGCATCGTCATCCTCTTGGCAGAAGGAGGGGTAGGTGCTGTTTGCACTGAAGCTGGGTCCCAGCCCCAGGAGGGGAGCTGTCCATGCACAAAACGGAGGGGACATAGGGACTATTTGAGGTCTGGCAACTGCCGTGCTCGGCCACAGCGCACTGAATGGAGTGAGGCTCAGGGCGGTGTTCCGCGGGAATGGAGTGGAGAACCAGTCAAGAACTGGGAATTCAGATTGCTCCCCAGTGCCCAGCTGTGAGGCTCCCCACTAGGACTTCAGGGCTGGGGAGTGAGGGGCAGGATTGGACGTATCTGCTGCTATTGTTCAGCTGGGAAAGCAGAGCCTCACGACTTTCTTCACCTTGGATACCCCCAACCCCACTAGAAAACATGGTTGGTGCTTCTGAATCAGGGCGCCTCTAAGTCCTAAGCCTGCAGCCTGCTTCTCCAGGGCAGCTCAGAGCCCTGTTCAGTGGGACCCGAGTGTTAGAGTCAGCTCATCCTGGCTCTGGGAGCCCATTCTGTGTACATTTGCGCAACCCCACATTAGTGACATTATGTCGATAGCCTGAAATGGGCCGTGGTGGGAGCATTTACACCCCAGAAACTGGTAAATGCTACCAACCACTGCTTATTTATTTGCCTCATAAAGGTGGTTATTAAAGATTTACCAGCACACTACCTGCCCTGCTTGAGAGGTGAATCTGATGTTCTCATCAGCTCTGATTCCTTCTGGGACCTGCTCCTGCCCCTTTGTCCCAGGACCCCTGTCCACCTGCCCATTGATCCTTGCTGCTGCCATCAACCCCTGATGACTGAGGGGCTGCTGGCTTCTCATGGCCCGTGGCGGAAGCAGGGCTAACCAACCTGTCTGTGTCTAGGTTGTCTACTATGGCAGGTGTGGTGTACCCCAGACAGGTGAGTGTTGTGGGTTTCTGTCGCCTGTGACCACCTCAAGGTTGAGCAGCTTTAGCAGACAGGCCCAGGCACCTTGGGCTCCCTCTGGTTGTCATTCTGGAATGATGTGTGTACGTGTGTGTGTGTGTGTGTAATAGGCAGAGGAAAGTAATGATGTATGGTTTTCTGGGGGCTCATTTATTCAGCATGCATTTAATAGGCACCTGTGGTGTGTCAGGCCCTGTGCTGGGCTTCGAGCCTGCAGAGATGCCAAAGATTAGGTCCTAATCTAGTATACTTCATTAAATCAGTTACAATTACCATGGTAAGTGCTGTAATGAGGGATGCAAAATGTGCTGTGAAAGCAGAGGAGAAAGAGTTTAATTTGGGGGAGGTGAATAGAAGGGTGGGATAGATGTTTTGGGGGAGAAATTTAATCTGGGTTTTGGAGGATGTGTAGGAGTTTGTCAGTCCATGAGGAGTACCACTAGCATTTCTAGCAGGAGATAAGAGCATGCGCATTTGTGAAAAGTGGAGTGTAGTGAGGCTGGAGTGCAGAAGGCATGGAGGGGAGTCAAGCAGGGCAAGATGGCAAAGGTCAGTAGAAGCCAGATCATGGGGCCTCTGAATGCCAGGCCCAAAAGTTGGTCTTGGTCCTATGGGCCATGAGAAGCCATCGAATGCCTTTAGGTGGAAGAATGGCAAGATGAGGTCTCTTGTTTTGTAATCTCCCTTGCCCTTCAGGCCCCTGTGGATTTAGACACATACAAAAGCTCCTACATGGTTGACTATCAACACTACGGGAAGCACAAATACTCCAGAGTCACACCACAAGAGGTAAGAAGTTATTTGGTCTTGTCTTCTGTTCAGTCGCCCACTGAAATCATCTTTACTTCATCTTTATTATGTGTGGATATTGGGGGCACTTATTTAGAACAATATCTGATGCCAGGAGAGCTAAAGAAGTCTTTTATGTGTGTGCTTTGTGTGTACGTTTTATTTTTAAAAAAAAATTTTATTGTTATGTTAATCACCATACATTACATCATTAGTTTTTGATGTAGTGTTCCATGATTCATTGTTTGTGTATAACAC